AAATAGGTACTATACATTTAAAATAAATAGTATTATTACAACCAACAGTTGAATGAGTGAAAACATTGATTTTTCAGAAATTTAATGACTGAAGTTCTAAACCTCTTCGCATCCGTGATAGTTTTCAAATTTTGTGGTATAGAATTGTAGGCTTTTATTGCATTATAATATGAAGATTTTTGGTAATATGTTGTTTTGAGGTTGGGTATTGTCAATTCATTTGACTAGTGGTCAAGTGCATATTTGGCGAATATTGGTCGCTATTTCTGGGAAACCAATGCAGATATTTTTTTAGAAGAATACAAGACCCAAGAAGTACAAAGAAGGTACTGTCATGATCTCGAGTTCAGCAAAATGAGGTTTACAGGAGGCATTGCGATCTAGTTCCAGAATACATCCAATAATTTTCTTCTGTGATATGAATATTTTTTGTGAACTTGATGATGAGCCCCAGAATATTATACCATAGGATATGGTTGATTGCAAATGGCTGGAATAATACATTCTCAGGCTACTGATTGATACTTGGTCCCTAAGGTAGCGTATAATTCCACAAATTGAGTTCAATTTGTTATTCAATAAATTAGTGTGTGCGTCCCAGCTGAGAGTTGCGACTAATGTAACACCTAGGAATTTAAAGTTGTCTGATATTGAACCTGATTTATTTTGCAGTCTTACATACAATGATTTTTCGTTGTTATTCATTTTGCTAAAAACAATGAGACTTGTTTTTGCCGCATTGAGCTTAAGATTATTCCTTTCACACCACAGGTTCATACTGTCTGAGACATTAGAAGATTTTGTGGAGAGTTCAAGCATACTGTTTCCCGCTATGATAACAGAAGTGTTATCTGCAAACTGGTACACACTACCAGGATGTAAAAGGCTTTTGGTAAATCGTTTATGTATAGCAAGAAAAGGATCGGCCCAAGTATTGAACCTTGAGGAACATCTTGAATAATATAGTTCTTTTCCATCTGAAACAGATACCACTTGTACCAGATTTGACAGATATGACTCAATGAGTTTGTATCCAACGCCTCTAATACCATAGCAATCCAGTTTATTCAGTAGTTTTGTGTGATCAACTGTATCAAAGGCTTTTGAGAGGTCAAAATGCAAACCTGCCGGGTTTGTCATTTTTTCAACCTTTTCAATGATATATTTAATTGTATTAAATATTGCTTGCTCTGTGGACATGCCTTGTCTGAAGCCAAATTCATTTGAAGAAATGTTATAAGTTGAAGAAATGATATGAGCCTATTGTATATTGCTCTCTCAAAGACCTTCAATGGTGGAGGAAGATATGAGAGTGGCCTATAATTGTTTATGTTACTTTTTGATCCTTTTAATTGGTATGACTTTTGCTATTTTTAATTCATCTGGAAATATGCCAGTTGATTCATTAATCATGTCCCTCAGGGGATCACAAATGTATTCACTGTTTTTTTTTTCAGTATAGCAGGTGGAGTATAGTCTATGACGCATGAATATTTTGGTTACATCTCAGGAATTGCTAATTAGGTGTGTGATGTTATTTTATGTGATGGATGAGTTTTATTTAGAACTTCTTGAACCGAACGGAGTATGTACGCCCTGTAGTCTTGATTCACCGGTGCCTCGAGTGAAATTGACAGGTCATATCAATATTGTTATCAAATCCCTCGATTCTCTGCCCATATCAGCGTATTATATCAATAATAATATACATTTTTTTTATAATATAAACATGATCAAAAAAGTTGAGAACTTGTCCATAATCATGACTTTTTTTTTCCTTCCACTAACTAAAAATCATTTTCTCATTGAGTACAATCAACATATTGAATACATTTTTATGTTATCTGAAAATAACTATGAAAAACATGAAATGTTGCCTAAGTATATTATCATGTAATCAAATTTCTAAACATTCTGAATTCTCAATCAACCATGATTCAATTTTTTTCTTGAATCCAAAAAAACTGATTTTTATCAAAGAGGCAATTTATTGCATTTTTTTTACCTATATGGATAGCATGTTGTGGCATTGAAGTTGAAGAGAATTTCTCAGTTGATATCCAACCATCAATTTTATTTTTGGTGTCATATTTATGTTTTACATGATTATAGTTTTGTAAATGTTTTCTTATGTATATTGTTGATGTTTTATAAAACAATTGATCAACAGAAAGAATGTTATAATGTTCAAAGAGGATTTTTGAAGAATAATCAGAAGGTTTTTTCAAGGTAAATTTTTTGAATAGATATAAGTGGTTTCAACGCCTATTATGTCATAAGCCAAAATTGATTGGAAATGGCTATAATAGAAACTGATAATTGAATTTCGACTGACAATGTTTCTCAGTAACCTTAATTTATAGTGTTTTCCTTGGTTTTTGTATCAATTCATTGATTTGTTTATCCCATTTGAGCATGCAATCTAAGTAAATTCCCAAATACTTTACTACATCAATTTTTGTAATATATTCGGTACAAACATGGAATAGTATGTATCTTCAATTCATCAATTCTTTTGGTTGCATACTCTCATTAAATGTGAATGTCATGAAATTCGATTATTTTAAATTTAGAGTCAGTAAATCATGATCAAGGTTGTTTTGTATAATTGATGAATCAAATTAAGCATTTGATACTGTTTCTTCCCAAGTATTTCCACTACCTATATACACTGATCTAATAAATAATGAATGCAACTGGTTCACTGATAAAGGTCGAAGTGGATTTTATGATTTTTGTGGTAAGGTAATAATACCTGTTGAATTTTTATTGTTGAGCTCATTGATGACACTGGAAACTTCAAAGAAGCAAATAGAAAAGAGAGAAAAGAAAAGAAAGGGGAATTAACGAACCTAATGACATTTCTCCACTTCCACAATCCTTCTTTTTTCTTCTCATTTCTCGTATAATTTAGGTATGTATGATGATGACAAAAATGTTGACATTATTTGACAATATCAGATAATTTCATAAATTTCCAATAAAAAGAGTTATACTTATCAATACAGGATACCTTCTATTACTGTGTAATCTTCGTATAGTAAACAATCTTCTAGTCCCAACAATAGAATATTTTCACTGCTTGAACCAAGTGATTTTAATGGAATTGTTACAGTGAAACTCTCAAATTTTACCAAGTCAATTTTTCACATTGAATAATTAATTATGTTTCAAGACTAAGTTTTTCGCCTTCACGATGGTATAAAAATTTTCCACGTGAGTACAACCTTCTTACCTTTGGTTCGCCATTTTGTTATTAGAATTTTTAATTTGATAAAAAATTTCTTTTTTCACTTTTTCACTTTTCACTCATCAATTATTATTGTTATACTTATAATGATCACCATTACTCTTTTTTCCTACTGAAATTTGTTAACTAATTCAATTTTGCATTTACAGCTTTTAATTTTCAATCTCAATATCTTCTTGATATAAAATCATGTTTGGTTTTTCTATTGTAGAAACACTTCATTGTTGATTTGACTGAAGATGGCCATTTCAAAGACCGAAACATGTATAGATCCTTATTGAAGCAGGATTGACTGCCTCCTTCAACATTGAAATTGTGGAGACGACTTTGCGTTTTTTTCTTCTTCTTTCTTTCTCTTGGATTAGTCATACAAGGTTTTGGTTTTATATCGTTCCGCAACGAAATTTGTTCGATTATCGGAACGTATTTTGTTATTATTAAAGTCCTTCGACAATAATATCGACCACATTTCTAATGATTTGCTTGACGAGCTACAAAGAAAGAGAGAAAAGAAAAACTGGGAATTAACGAACCTATTCCGGTTTCTCGCGAACGTCCTGTCACTCCTGTCCAAATCGCATCCGTACTGCCGGTCGAAATCCTCGAGTCCCAGCGGGTAATCCCCCTCGGGTAAAAACCGGTTGGCGTCGCGGGAGGCCGTGAGCCACCGGTCAGACACGACAGTGGCGTGCTTCGCGATGACGAAAAATAATTTCAACCAATATTTCAGGGACATCCTTATTGATCTATGACCAATTTTAACCGTTGAAGTTAAAAAGTTCCTTTCACTTGCGCTCATACAATCTCATTAAACTCATATCCAATACATGGAAAGTACGAATGTCAAGTTGTCATTGCGAACAATTACATAGTGTCGATCTTCTACTCGGAGTAGTTTCTACCTAGTTGAAAAGATAGATTTATGTTAATGTTTCCCTCTGTGATGAAGTGATTAAATTCTGAGTACCTCTGTTGTCATGGCCCAGATTCAAAGACTTCAAATTATGAAACATAATTACATTCATAAAAAGACCGATATATTATGATTTTCAAATGTATCAATGGCATTCCCTCCATTATCTGCCCATGATTCCGTCATTTGCCTTTCTTTTTTCTGCGTTTGCGAATGTTGGCATACATTTTTTCGTAATTTAAGAAGGAATCGCCGTCTACCAATTATTTCAAATGTATCGATAGCACACTCTCTGTCCATGATTCCGAATTGTTATTCGCATTCGTGTTTGTCGGTTACGATTGAGGGCATATGTTTTTTTTGTACTTCACGAATGAATCGCGGCGTCTACCTATTGTTTCGAATGTACCGATGGCATGCCCTCGAGTCGCTTTGCTCAATGACTTTTACTGACATAACACGGATGACCATTATCTGACAACTCAAAAATATCATATTAGCCATAACCATATTACACACAGGATGTGCTGTTCCGGTAGAGAGGTTATCCCGTTTAGCTTCAAGATCTTATAATTTCTTTCAACGGGCATAACGATCCTTGGACCAAAGGACATTTCTTGTTTAGCATGATTAGATCTACCCAATCCTAGATTTTTACGAAATTTCACCGTAGACAAGAGTTCAATGTAAATGGTGCGGGGCCCTTTGTTCGATTATCGGAACGTATTGTGTTATTATTGAAGTCCTTCGACAATAATATCGATCACATTTCTAATGCTTTGGTTGACGAGCTACAAAGAAAGAAAGATAGAAAAGAAAAACTGGGAATTGACGAACCTATTCCGGTTTCTCGTCGCGAACGTCCTGTCCAAATCGCACCCGTACTGCCGGTCGAAATCCTCCAGCTCCAGCGGGTAATCCCCCTCGGGTAAAAACCGGTTGGCATCCCGGGAGGCCGTGAGCCACCGCTCCGACACGACAGTGGCGTGCTTCGCGATGGCGAAGAAGAGTTTGTTGGTCCTGGCGAGGCGCGGCATCACCAGGTGCGTAAAGTCCTGGTCGATTTTCGAAACGCTGCCTCCGAGCTCCCTGGAACGATATAATCATAGCCATCTTGATTGATTGATTGTCTTTATTAACCCAAGAAACATTATTGTTTATAATAGGGATATTTACAACGAAACATACATATAACTTGATAAATCGAATTCGAAACAATAATAATTGCACAATTATTGTTTTTCATAAAAAAATAATAAAATATAAAATGAAAATATTATAATCTATTACAAGTTATCAAATTGCGAATGATTATTTGATTGTGGAGGTGTGAAGTAAAACTCAACAACGTCTTGGGAATTGAATCGATCTTCCAATGATACAGCGATCTCTTCCTTCATTAACGATCTACAAGCTGAGGATTGGTTGGATTTATTCAACATCTCTTATGTTAATTCGGCTTTTAATTGTTTTTGGATGACTTTGTATTTCCATCTCGATAAGAATTTTCCAAAGCGTAAGAGAAACATAAAGCATACAAAAAAAATTGTGCCGACGATGCTGTCAGAACTTCGAGCGAGAATTAAAAAAACCTCCATGCTTTGAAAAAATATAATTCTGACTTGGAGGATCTCTATAAGGTAGAAAAACAAAAACATTTTAAATTAATCCGTTCCACCAAGAAACAATATTTTCAAAACAAAATTGAAAATTCAGATAATCTCAGCAGAACAGCTTGGGGAATTGTACAGGGTGATTCACCATAAATGTCCCCCCCTCGAGCTCACTTATTTTTGAACCGATTTGAAAATTTGAAGAATAATCTAAAATGATTTTTCAGAATTTTTTTTTCCCGTTGCATTATCAGAGAATACAGGTTGCTCGGAACAAACGATCTACAGAGTACTACTTGATTTTTTCAAATGGAACACCCTGTATTTCATTGTAATTTCAGATTCTTCCTGAAGAGCTGATTTCATCAATGTATCACACTTGGGTAATAGCGGGTATGATTACAGAGATATAGGGTGTTCAAAATCGAGATTTTTCAACATTAGGATTTTTTTGTGTCGAAACTATTCATTATTGGTCAAAACGGCTTCTATGTCTCCATCTCAACTTTCGATTTACTATCTACTGACATTTAATTGGACCATTTACAGGGTGGTTCAAGATTCAGAATTCTGATCACCCTGTATCTTTTCCAATCATTAAATGTCAGTAGATAGTAAATCTACAGTTTAGATACGGACATGGAAGCCGTTTTGACCGATAATAAATAGTTTCGTCACAAAAAAATTCTAAATTTGAAAACTCTCGATTTTGACCACCCTATATCTCTGTAATCATTCCTGCTAGACCCCAAGTGTGATGCATTGATCAAATCAGCTCTTCAGGGAGAATCTAAAGATACAATGAAAAATAGGGTGTTCTATTTAAAAAAATCGAATAGTACCCTGTAGATCGTTTGTTCCGAGTACCCTGTATTTTCTGATGTAGCGGAAAAAAACTTTATCCAAAATCATTTAAGATGATATTTCAAATTTTGAAATCGTTTCAAAAATAACTGAGCTAGAGGGGGGGACATTTATGGTGAATCACCCTGTACCTGAACTAGCCAATAAACCAAAAAAATTACAAAAAAATATATCAATTAGGGACAATTGAATTTGATGATTGAGACTCCAGCTATAGTTGCAAATATGTTCAATAATTACTTCAGAGATGCTCCAAAAGAGATGACAGATCAATAAAAAATCTTGATTATCAGTGTTTTTTGAAAAACATCAAGTCACCGATAAATTCACTATTCCTCAATCATTATACAAAGGTGGAACTGTATAACCTTCTTCAGGGTAAATTGAAAAATAAATCATCCTCGTTCTGAAAAAATGTCTTTCAGTTATTATCGTACCTTTGCTCTTCCTGGTGAATTTAACTTTCAAGGAGAATAGTCTCCATTTATTAGAAAACTATCGGCCAGTCACGATTCCATCCTGTTTTTCAAAATTATTTGAATATGTTTTTTTAAACAGGTTACTTCAATTTGTGATAGTCACAATCTTTTCACACCGAATCAGCACGAGTTCCTTGACAAAAAATCGACTACCACAGCCATTCAATCCTATTATAGTGAGATAATTAGATGTATTGAGGCGAGAGAATGCCCTGTTGGGATTTTCTGTGATCTCAGCAGGGCATTTGATTGCATTGACCATAACATTCTCTTAAATAAACTCTTCAGGTATGGTATTCGTGGTACTCCACTGGCCTGGATAGTAGACTACCTTTCTTTTAGGAAACAATTTGTTGAAATCAGCGAAATACCATTTGACTTCATTTCAACTGATTTAGGGGTTCCACAAGGATCAATTTTTGAATTGACTCGGCCGTTACTTGATGGAAATCCATGGCAAATGTATAAACTTCACAAACGATAAGATTTACACAAAATTCTCAAACACACATGTTTCGCTAACACAGTAGCTTCGTCAGGTCATATACAATGTACCAGTATATCAAAGAAAAAACAAAATACACAAAGTCGGTCGACCACAAATTATATTACACTTTGAAAAAATCTGGACCACTTTGAGAAGGATGGATGGTTTCCATGACGTACCAGTATATCACCAGCTACTGTGTTAGCGAAACATGTTGTGTGTTTGAGAATTTTGTGAAAATCTTATCGATTGTGAAGTTTTTTGATTTTGGGACCTATATTATTTCTATTTTATGCTAATGACCTCGATAAGTCAATTGATACATCTCTGACCATGTATGCAGATGATAACTCCATAATTATCTCTGATAAAAATGATTCAGCCCTCAAGGATGAATGCTATTAAGTTTTTCAAGATTTGAATAGATGATTTTCTGCAAATAATCTTTACTTGAATATTGATAAGATAGTTTCGATTGGATTTCACAATCGTCAGAAAAAGTGTGACTATTACTTTCCAGGCAAAGGAAAATTCTGATCTTGTTATTACAGTTAGGGAAAGCACCAAATTCCTGCGAGTCTTTATCGATCAATGTTTGGGTGGCATAACCATTGTGCACTATTAACAAGGAAATTGAACACAATATCATATCAATTGAGAAACTCAAAACAAGTTTTGAATATGAATCAATTGTTGACCTTGTATTATGCTCAGATTGACTATATTTCTAAGGCCTATCTTCACAATGAAAGGATGTTTTTATAGCTCAAAAAAGAATAGTACGAATAATGGTAGGTAGATTCCTGCAGAAATATATTTATCAACTATAAAATTTTAACATTACAATGTCTTTTAATATTTGAATATTGTGTGTTTGTATATAAAAATTATGATAAATATTTTGTTCCCAATAGATCCAAACATAATGGTAAATGTAAATTAGCCTACAGTTCTCCTCTCATGGCCCCACGAATTTTCAACTTACTGCCAATCAACATAAAAAACTGTGAAACATTGGCTATGTTGTTTTGTTTGCATTGAAATCTACCAAGTTATTGGATCCCAACTCGAGAATTGTTGCCAAGTCCATATTTATGTTGTCAACATTTCTCCCTCGTTCGTTTCTGATTTGCCTGGCTGGTATTGGAGCCCTGGAAGAGAAAGCGCTATGGAGGGTACTATCATCCACGAAGCTGTGTACTGGACATGAAGTTGCGTCCAACAAATCGTTGATATGGAGTAGAAATAGTGTTGGTCTAGAATTGATCCTTGCGGAACACCAGCATTTATGATAAGAGAATCAGATGAAACTCCGTCGATCACTACATGGAGAGACATGTTTGAGAGAAAACTAGCTAGCAAAGAACATAGCTGGGGAGGCAAGCCATAGGATGGAAGCTTGGCGAGGAGCCCGTGGTGCCAGACTCGATAGAATGCCTTGGAGATATCAAGTGCCGCGGCTAAGGTTTCACCATATTTTTCAATAGATTGCTGCCATATATCTGAGACGTAAGCGAGTAGGTGACCAGTTGATCTCTGATGACGAAATCCATATTGCCTATCGTTGATGATACCTGAATGTTCCAGGTATTTCATGAGCTCGATTTTGATAGCTTTCTCCATGATCTTTGAAATAAATAGATAGCAGTGTAATCGGTCGGTAGTTGCTAGGTAGGGTCTTTTTGCCTTTTTTAGGAACTGGTTGTACTCTTGCAATTTTCCAGTTGGACGGAAATATCCCCAATTTGTAAGAGTAGTTGAACAACTTGCAGAGAACATGTGTTGGTTCGGGAGCACATTTCTTGAAAACAATCGGTGGGATTCCGTCGGAGCCAAAAATATTATACAGTTTTCCATAGAAGTAAGTGCAAGCATCTTCAGCATTGACAAATACTTCCAAAATTGTCCAGTCAATGGTTGACATCAACTCGTACATTAAAGGAAAATTTGCTTTTCGAAAGTTGTAACTATTTTGAAAGAATGAATCAGGGTTTTTTTCACGTTGAGAATTGAGATTGAGCGAACAAGAGATATCAAGTGCCGGGTGATGCTTGTCCTACCTCACTACAGGGTCTAGAGATTTCTCCACCAAGCAAAACCGTTTACAGAATACTAAGTCTAGGAGTTTATTAACGTGATTGTATATGAAGTTGTTTTGAGAAAAGTCGAAGAATTGAGAGAAGTTATTTAACAGTGATATTCGCGTATTAGTTCTATTAGTTCGGAGATAGGTCGCATAATCGGCTATGTTGAAGTCCCACAACATCAGAGTAGTAGTATCATATAAAATCTGCAACGACTCTTCCAAAAACTGTTCAAATTCAGAGAACGTTGTCCTTGGTGGTATGTACGAATTCAATACATAAAAGTAATTAGATACCAGAGTTATTCTTACTAAGATTCCCTCAATAGACCTAAAACTCGGGAATGAATAAAGTTAATGCAATTAGCTATAATGTCTTCATGCACTCCAATAAGAACTCCACCAGTGGATAAATTTGTTGATGAGCTGTCACGATCCTCCCTGTATATATTGAAGTAGTAAGGAAATAGTTTCGTATTGCTAACTGATGAGTCGAGCCATGTTTCGGTAAAAGCGCATATTTTAAAATCACATTGTTTTAAAGAATTGAATACATCAGCAGTTTTTGTTTTGAGGCCGCGTGTGTTCTGATAGTAAATTGATAGAGTTGACCCGTTCTCTGTTTGACCCGGCGGAGAACTTGTGTTATATACGACCGCAAGGTCGTGGGTTCGATTCCCAGCACGAAATGATGAAAGATATGATGATGTGGTTGTGAGCATCAGAGAAGAAGTAGGACAGTGTATGTAGGTGGGTGTGGAAAACTACCAGCTGAGCGTGAGAGCGGACCAGCTGCTTAGTGGACCTCGGTCTCTAACGGGGGTTAACGAGGATAGCTAGCTGACGGGCGGTGCCTGAAAAGGATGATAGCCAGCTCTCTTAAGCGAACCACATCAGTCATTGAAATCACCTTGGGGTTTGCAAAAAGGTCCCATTAGGGACTAGTTGCTGACGTGCAAACGTCCAGTACCAGTACCAGAATATACGGGGGAGGGTAGATGATTGCCCTCTGATTGCTATTGATTCAAGAACAAATTACTTTTCAATTTATCTAGAGCCTGTATGTAAGTCGTTTATTTATCTTTCTACCAAACGGCATGATCAACAGCAATGTTAATATTTTTCTGGCTACAGCAGTCAGAGCATTTCCTTATATCAGATTTACATTTGCCAACTTCATGATCACCATGAATCATGAATAAAGTGGTATGGTATTTTTTGTTTTCCCTCGGAGGCGCTGGTTTCACATTGAATTGACATAAATCAGGAATAATGTTGGTCCTAATATTTATTGTTTGATTAGTACTAGCTCCACCATCAATTGATACATGTTGTGGTCTGCCTGAGAGGTACTCTTTAAACAATTTCAAAACTATGCATCTGATACCTGACCTTTCTAATTTGGACAATAGAATATGGTGATCAACTGTGTCAAAAGCCTTCCTCAGGTCGAGAGACACCAGGCCAGTGTTATCATGATTATTGGTGTTTTGTTGTATCTCAGTGAGTAAATTTATTGCCGCCGACCCTGTGTCACTCAACTTGCGGAAGCCATATTTAAAGCAGAACTTTTTTTATTTAAAAAATTCAAGAGGCTAGTATTTATTACTTTCTCCATTATCTTAGAGAACACAGGTAAAATTGATACAGGTCTATAATTATTACAACTTGTTTTCTCCCCCTCTTCAAATAATGGTGACACTTTCGCAATTTTTATCATGGATGGAAAATTCTCGTATTCGAAATTTTTTTTAATCATTTCAGTAAGAATTTGAAAGAACCTCCTTTATGCATGTGGCTTTATTTGGGTCCAAATCATAGATTAGTTGTTTCATTTCCCTTTCACTTGTGTGTTCCAGAAATATACTGTCCCGTTCAGTTTTTTCCAAAGTTAAATTCATCTATTGATGCTTGATTTTGGATGCTAATTCGTTTCCAATCTAAGCAAAAATAGTATTCAAACATTCTCCAAATTCTTTGGTGGCTGGTGGATATATTGTTAAAGGTGATTGAGGATATTTTATCTTCCTTTTCTTTACATTTGTTTGTTGATATTTTGTTGATTGTATTCCAGGTTTCCTAGGGTTACCTCACATTTTTTTTTTCGTTTGTGTATGTGTTTTTGCGTTCTTTATGTTTATTTTTACAAGTTTGATAGTATCATTATGTTTGTTCTTATAGTATATGTTTGCTGGAAATAACTTATGTATGTAACTTCGTATTCATCTGTTTCTTTAAGAACAAAGAGTGTGTTGCATGAGAATATGAGTTGATTGTACTTTTTGATGTTATTTTTATTCAGCGAAAGTAATTATTGTTATTTTTCTTCGTTCATTTCGTATAAAATAGGTGCTTTGTTCTTTGGTGTAGGACCTCAGACCAACCTCTCTAGAAATATACTTTCAGAGCATTTTGTCCTAAAAGTTGATATGATGTAACTCTGTAACTCTATATTTTACAATTCTCATACCAATAAGTCTCTAAAATGACTCACCTGACTATCCCCTGCAAATCTTTAGTATCACTGTACATGGAGAACATAATTCTGTATGAAGGGTTCGTGACTTGCTCATCACTGATATTATCGTTCTCATCAGTTTCCATTTTCTGCTTCTTCGGTTTTTTTGGTATTACCACAGGTGAGGCACATCTTTTCACTCGTTCATAAGACTCTTGGGATATATTTATAGGGGCTTTCCAAGCGACTGAAAAAACAAAAAAATAATACGGTTTTTTCATCTTTTTGGTCCCACGAAAGAGTAAAAGAGTATCCCTATTATGATATGTGGAATATGCTTCCAAGAACTGTGAATGACTTCAAAAACATAGGTTTTAAGTGAAGTATTTTAATGGATCCGATGTTTGAAAATCGCCCACACCCATGTGGTAGAAAATGAGACATCAGGAGTTAGTCTAGACTTCCAGCTGATTGTTCCACGAATTTTCCGCTCTAATCTTGAATGATTTGTAAGATACAAATGATTTGGTAAACTACTAAGACGGTAATTATTTTCAGACATTTCCTCAAGAGGAAGTTGTACTTCTGATACAATTGGCATCAATTCCGGCGTTCCACAAGGATCAATTTTGGCACCAAAATTATTCCTTCTTCATATCAATGATCTGTTGGGAGTAACAACTTGCCCCATCCACAGCTTTGCTGATGATATTACCCTCCATACTGCGTTCTCTTCCAGAATTCCCATTTCTTCCCAGGAAACTAAGAACTCACGGCGCAGGCAGGTCAATGCTGCCAACGAAGACCTTACTGAAATCACAGCCTCGGGAACCAACAACCTAGTTGAATTCAACGCCATCAAAACTCAAGCTTGTATTTTCTCTAGGAAGGCGGAGCTCAGTATGCCCGACATTTTTAATGTCTGGCACCACCATCCCCACCAAGCCCACCATATCTATGGTCGGTATTTCCATCAGCAACACTCTTTCATGGAATAATCATGTCAGATCCATCGCAAAAGCTGCTTCACAAAAACTCCGATTCTTGTTCCGTGCGAAATGCTACTTTACACCTCAACAGCTCCTCATGATCTACAAAGCGCAAATACGGCCAGTTTTAGAATACTGTTCTCATGTATGGGGTTCAGCACCCAAACATACGCTGATGCTCTTAGATTCCATCCAGAGAAGAGCCATCCGCCAGGTGAGTGACGTCACACGCACTCACTCTTTGACATCATTGGAACACCGTAGAAAGGTCGGCGACCTTTCACTTTTCTATCGATACTTCCACGGGAAATGTTCTTCGGAAATCTCCGCTATCATCCCTTCACTAGCAATACCAGTCAGACGAACTAGACGAGCCCAGTCAGCACATCCTTTCGTTCTCAACCTCGAAAGATGTCGAACAGCACTTTATCAAAACTCCTTCATCCATAGAACGGCTACGCTCTGGAATTCATTACCTGAGGAAGTATTCCCAACAACATATAATCTCCAGAAGTTCGAAAAAAATTCCAATACCTACCTCCTATCCCTATCTTCCCTAGGAACGCACGATGTTCTTCCAACATTACAGGGGTTCCCTTTCGAGCGCTACAAGCGATAAAAAAATGATATAAAGCAATGATGCAAGGATTTCGTAGCCCCTAACTTTTCAGGGTGATTTTTCATTTTGTGTGAATTTGTACATATTCGTAAAGATCTTATCATTGATGAACTGGTGCGCTCACTCTTCATTTGTTTCGTCAGACAATTGAATTTCAGATGATGACGTGGGGTTCACATATTGAATGTTAGATGGTGTGATTCCTAGAACATATGATCTATTGTATCTTCTCCTAAAATCTGAATATAAAAATGGTTAATTTGAGATCTATTGAGAAATACCTCGTAGCTCACACATTTTTCTATTTCTGTTTGTGTTCTAACTTCTGTCACTGACAAGTGTCATGAGGCAAAAACGAAAACAGTAACTGCAAGAATTATTTTCCATTTTCGTGTTGAAAACGGGAATATTCGTTCCTGAAACGTCCAAAGACAAGTGATAATTGATATTACTTCTGTATTCTTTTTCCTACTTTTTTCGAACAAGAGGTCACTGACTATCAAATGAACATATTGGTGCAAATCATCTGCTGATTGATGCAAAACTGATTTAGCCTACAAACAGTATTTAGTATAATAATTGTTGAATATTTTGAATGTGATAGCTAATGAAAAATTCTTACCCATTAAATTAGGAACTAATTTGGGATCGAAACTGAAGTTCGGTGGATTCTGGAACTGCTGGTACATCTGATGGTCCATTTGATTCATGGCAGCGAAATGGCCCAGCATCACGTCAGTCAACCATTGCACATTCACAACGGGTATCTGCCATTTTTTCGCATAAGAGACCTTTTTACCGTCACCTTTCGCCGAGATGAGCAGGGTGTTGTGCTTCGAGAAATATGATGTGCACTGGAACAAATTAGTGATGTTTTTATGTCGATCTCGGACTGCAAACCACTGACATAACCACTATCTAGATCGATATACAAGGTGTCCCAGAGAGGGTTGGCCGATATATATATCAAGTGGTATACAGGGTTACGAGTATAGTCGTGGAAATACACCAAGGCAAAATCTGTTTCTTTTTATTCATCGCAAGCTGAATTCTCAGTTTCAGTCGGAATTCCACACCACCCTGTATTTGTTTCAATTAAATACGAGTAAATAGTAAATCAAAAGTTGAGACATGGACATGTAAGCCGTTTTGACCAATAATGAATAGTTTTGACACAAAAAATTCCCAAAAATGAAAAATCCCGATTTTCCACACCCTATATCTCGGAAATCATTCACGCTAAAGCCCAAGTGTGCTAGGTCGTTGAATTCAGCTCTTCAAGGAGATTATGAAATTGCAATGAAAAAATTGATGTTCGATTTTGTGAGCCTTTCTCGCGCCCCTATGATGTGGAATTATAATATTTCGAAAATTACTATTGGTTCAGGAGATATTCAACTGTCCCACTGGTCTAGGGACACCCTGTTTATTATGAATCTTTGAAAAAAAAAAACATGGGAAATTGTAATGGTACGCACATACACTCCTATATCCGTTCTCGTGGACTTCGATGAACTGCCATATTCGTTACCATGATTATCATGATTGTCAAAATCTGGAATACTTAAGAATACACATGCGAATGGTAACCAGAAATTCTATAGGCTTTTGTTTTGTGACTTGGTGTATTTCCACGACTTTAACATGATACATTCCTTTGGAGGTAAGGTAAGGGGTGGATAATATAAGATTCATATAAAGATATGCATATGATATAATTCTGAATATTCAACAGATAAAAACTACTTTCCTGGCTATTTGCCACGTCGAACATTGAATAATATTTTATTTATTTTTATTTATTTATTGGAAATGTTACTTCCAGTCAGAATCAAGTTCTGGTATAAGGAGGTATAGTTAACAATAATACCTAAAACTATACAATTATAATAAACTAATAAAAAATATAATATTTGAAAACATTAAGTATTAAATTTTGACAAATCATTTCATATTGGTGAGCAAAAATCAATTTGAATATGAATCGAAAGTTGAAAAAAAATCATCTATTTCGTTCAGAAATGAAAAATTTTTCAAGTTGGTATTTGAATTTTATTGTATTTCTGTAATTTTTTATATTATCTGGTAATTTGTTATATTCCAAGAGAGCAGCGTGGGTGAATCTTTTTTGGCCCATAGAAGAATTAGCGATATCAAGATGAAATAAACCATGTTGTCTAGTTTGGTAATTATGAATTTCATTGTTTCGAGTTAGTTTTTCAATTTTAAACATTTCTTCTAATGAGAATGATTCATTTATTTTATATAATTGATTTGTTGGTGTATCATAATATGGTAAACGATACAGTACTTTCAATGTCTTTTTATATAATGCAGATATTTTATTAAAATTTTTTGAACAGTATCCCCAAACATTTATCAAATAGTTAATACGACTGAGTATATGAGAATATAGAATTATATTTGCAACTTTTTTATTCTGCTTGGGACATCTTCTCAGGGCTCCAATAATAGGAGATATTTTTTTCGTCAAAACATTTATATGTTTGTCCCACTTTTATTTATCATCAAACCAAATACCAAGATACTTTTTCTCATTAGTTTGTTTCGAAGATTCATTTTTAATTCTGAGATTTAAATTTATATTTTGTTTATTTTCTTGTTGAAAAATCATATATTCAGTTTTATCAGTATTTATTGATAAGAGGTTTGAATGCAGCCATTTTTCAAATTTAATCAAATCTCTGTTCATTATATTTTCTAATATGATAGAATTTTCATTTTCATATAAAAGTACCGTATCGTCTGCATAAATAGTGTAATTACATTCTGTATCAATTTTCGTGATATTTTGAATATATAATAAATATAAGATTGGTCCTAAAACAGATCCTTGAGGGACACCTTTAGTCATCGGCAGTCTATGAGACTGAGTTGGTATGAGTTGGTAGATTTGGTACTGATTGTCCTATTTTGAAGATACGAATCTAACAGGTTCCTTCCCAGGTAACAAGCTGACGTCATTTGTACGTCAATATATGGTCATTTATGGTCATTGACGTCATATGACCTCAAAATGACGTCATTTTGACGTACTTAATATGACGTTATATAGACGTCCTTGATATGTCGTCATTATGACGTCATCTGATGGTCATTTTCATGACTAATTATGACCATCATTTATTGAATCATCTACATCAAGGAAAATCCATAATCAAAAAGTTTCCCATCTCTGTTATATGAAAACGTTAGTAGTTATGTTATATATCATATATTATTATGTCACTCATCATATATTATGCTTCATAATAATTTTTCCTCTAATTTGTGCGAGATGTGTGTTTTCGATGGTCTCTGAGATAATTGTTAATTATATACCTTCTGTGCAAAGTATTCTCCCTATAGCTATTAAAAATATAAGACCGAATGTCACGTCATAAAAAGCTTATAACGTTGTTATTCCGGAATGCGAATTCAAATCAGAGCGGGAGAGTGCGTAGAGAACTGTATTTGATTGGTCGGCACGGACCTTGCGCAGACATGCGAACGTCGACCGCCAGCGCCAACCCACAGCCGTCTTCAGAAGACGGCTGTGGCCAAGCCGTTCACTTTCGCTTCGCCGTTGCGGCCATGATGACCATAACAACAAAATAACAATACATAGTTGGCCATTATTATCATGTTATTTGGCTATCTATGTGGTGTGGTGTGGTGGTCATACTTATTCATATCCATATATCAAGTAGTAGAATTTGAGGATGGCAGCATGGTCATTATTTTAGACAAGTGGTGTATGCCGAAAAAGCAGAATGTGAATTGGACGCCATTGAAGGAATACCATAGGGTTCTGAGAAATCTCTTGAGTGCATCATCCGAATGGGATAAGTTTCCAATAAAAAGAACATTTTATAAAACTGGTATTTATAGTACCTACCTATAATATTATTTTGCATTTAATGTGGTAAGGGAACATCAATATATAATTATACAAAAAAAATCTCATCTTTTCTGATAATATTGATACAACCCTAATGCAACAGTGTTTCTTTAACCTACAGAAAATTTCGAAATAGCCCAAAATAAACTGAAACATGCAGAAGATTTCAGTGATATAAATAATCGTAAAGATCACGTCATTTTGACGCCATTAGGATGTCGTCATTTTGACGTCATTAGGATGACGTCATTTTGACGACATGAAAATGACGTCATTCGTCTTTGACTTAGAAGGTCATATAAACGTCATTATGACGTCATTTCGGAAGTCATCCTGACGTCAGGCCTGACGTGATAATGACGTACAAATGACGTCAGCTTGTTACCTGGGTTATCATGCCTCTGAGTCCCATTGATTCTAAATTTTCCAAAAGTGTTATGTGGTCTACTGTATGCTTTTTTGAGATCAACAAAAATTGCTATCACATAATTTCCGGTATCAAGTCCTTTTTGTATTGCTTGTATTACTTGTAATATTGCCGCTTGTGTGCCACTATTTTCTTGAAAACCAAATTGATTCATGTCAAAGCTATATTTTCTATTTATGAAATCTACAATGCGTTTTTTAAGAATCTTTTCAACAATTTTGGAAAAAATGCTCAATAAGGCAATTGGTCTATAATTTTCTGGATCTTGAGTATCTCCACTTTTGTAAATTGGTCTTAATGAAGCATGCTTTAATTCTTGTGGAAATATACCACTGTTGAGTATCCAAAAAGATAGCATGAAAAATCAAAATCCTCTGAAATTGAGAATTGACATCATCTCTCAAATCGAATAGAATAATATGATGTATTATGATATAAAAAATATAACTTACTAATATGTTCAGTATTGAAATGAAAATTGAAATGTATATGAGAAGTTAACTTGTATGAACTCTGATCTTGATGAGCTTGGAACTTCAAAAAAAAAATCATTCGTATCAGTGATATGGGAATTACATCTCTCACAAACAGGTTATACAGGGTGAGTCATAACTATTGGGACATAGGCTAACGGCGCATTGTTTGGACCAAAATATGGCCATTGGACCAAACATGCCTCAATAAAATATTGCTGTGAAAAGAGATTTTTTTCGTTTCTTGTTGGTTTTTTGCTAATATTTTCACTGTATATGAAATATATTTGAACAAGTTCTGTGATTTGATTGCTTTCTGTCTAGATATTGGAGATATTGCAATTCATACCTTCTGGTTTAAAAGTGTTTAAAAGTGTTTTTAACCGCCAGCTTAGTTGCAAAGCAACCCTCGAAAGTCAGAGACTTGTGTGAGTTAAGAAGACGGGGACCTTAGCTTTTTAAGTGTCATCCGAAGCACTACTCGGCTGGTAACCGTGGACAGTCCAAAGGATTGATATCTAGGTACCAAGAATGTTGGGTTGGCCACCTATCTCCTCCCGCCCAACGAAACTACCGAAAATTAATTCAGTGCTCGCGCCGGGGATCGAACCCGGACCGCCTGGGCAACAGCCAGCGACTCTACGCTCACGGCCACCAGCCCAGGTTGCATCCCGCATTTATTCATTTATAAAATGATTGTGACGAGGCATTTCAATCGAAAAAAATGTTGACTATAAACTCGAACCGAAATTCATTCTCTGACAAGAAATGCCATTACCAGCAACATTATATGACAGTTCAAAGCACACTCTTCATGAATGAAATAATATTTGTGATTAACTTCTGAGACTCTGAACTGTTCAATAGCGTTTTTCTCGAAAACGGATATGAATATCATATTCAAACAGGAGTACCAATATTACGTAGAAATGATGTTTAGGTCATATTTTTCGATAGAAATCACTCAAAAGTTTCGCCAAAAAAAGTAACCAGGCGATTCCATCATCAGAAATCATTCACGTGGCGCGCCCTGTATCAAAATGTAGAATAGTACATAAAATAATATTCGCTGTATGAAATTATGCCTCTGTGCCAATTTTGATAACAATTGATGAATATACAGTGAAATTATTGGCAAAAAACGAAAATAAAAAGTCAACTTCAACGCTCTGTATCTTTTTCCACAGCAATATTCCATAAAGGCATATTTAGTCCTATCGCCATATTTTGGTCCAAACAATCCGCCCTTAGCCTATGTCCTAATAGTTATGACTCACCCTGTGTATAGCATTGTGGCTATTTCGTAGTTGATGTTAACCCTCGTTGATCACCAGATTATATCACGACTCACCTTCCCGCCGGTATGTTTGACCATCTCCTTCACCCGCCACCGGTCGTTCCCCTCGAATCCGCTAACAGAGATCAGATGTTTGCCGGCCGGCGCCGTGTCCAAATAGATGCCGGGCAGATGCAGCGCCATCCACGGCGGCAACACCTGCCGCCTGGTGATGACGTCGTTCAGCCACAGGATGGTGACGCAACGCTTGCAGTCGCGCAACGCTTGCATCACCACGCCGTGACGTTGGGTTTCGCAGAGGACGTGCGTCACTCGCGTGCAGTACTGCTTCTCCACCTCACCTGGATTGGACATTGAAAGGAGGGGTTAGCGAACCAGAAACGTGTTGCGCATTTTTTTCGGTATTTTTATTAGTTTTTGGAAACAAATTCTGAATTGAGGAAACCTAATCAAGAATCGCGATTGAGGTCTATGAAAATAACGAGTTTCCATCGTTCAAATTTGAACCTCTTGATTGGGTGAAAGTATTGAAAAGGAATATTCTCAGATATATTTATGAACAAAAAATGGATATATATACAAAGAAATACATTGAGAATTCGCATTCTCCATGTGATGAAAATATTAATTGTCTCTCGGTTTATTCAACAGAAAACAATTACTTTCCTGGTTATTTGCCACGTCGATCATTGAATTATATTTGTTGAACATTCAAAAAGAGAGAATGAAAAATAAATTCAATAGGAAACTATGGCATATATGCAGATGACACAGTACTTTTATTTGAGAACAAAAACCCTGTAATTTCAGAAAACAACATAAATGAGGATTTGAAGAAAATGGAAGAATGGCTATACTCCAATCTTCTTCCCTTTAATTCTAATAAGACCCAATATATAATTTCCATCAAAGAAATAAGCAAAATATTGATTTGAATATTAGAATGAAAAATGAAAGATTGAAACAAACTGCCTATACCAAATACCTTGGTATTTGGATTGATCAAAAGTCAACATGGGACAAGCATATTGGCATGCTCAAAGAAAAAAATTCTCCCATAGTTGGTGCCCTAAGAAGATGTCCAAAACTTATCCCAAATATAGCAAATACCGTTCTATACTCTCACATCTTTAGTAAAATGAACTATTTCATAAATATTTGGGGTTTATGTTCCAACAATAATTTTAACAAAATATCTGTACTATATAAAAAAGCATTAAAAGTACTGTATCTTCTTCCATATGAGACCCCATCAAATCAACTTTATAAAGAAACAAATAAATTTTCTTTGCTCTCAAAATTTCTTTTGATATTATCAACAAACACCTCAAATCTAAATTCATATTGGTAAGGAATTCTCAAATCCATGAACATCATACTAGATAATATAACTTGTTTCACCTTGATGCTGCTAATTCTACACTTGGCCAAAAAAAGTTCAAAATTAAAGTCAAGAAACATATCCTCTTGCAAAGAGAAAATCAAACCTGAGTGAATGATTTCTCATTCACTAATTCATTTCATGTCATAATGTACTTTTCATAAGTTTTTTGTTTTATTATTATTATTTTTGAATCTGTTGTTCATTTCAATAATTATAATTCAATTTGATAACATGTTTGAAATTCACTGTTTTTACCTTATCAAGTTTACGTTATTTTATGAACATAATATTTATTTATTTTTCAACTAGGGAGTTACTTAAACATTGATATGTTTTTTTTTGTACATTTAGATGAATGAGAAAATATTGTCTATCTCATATTCATAGTTCGAATTTCGTGTATGAAAATGCACGATAATCCTTAAGCGTCTGCGCGAGCGTCCTTCATGTATCAAGGATGCGCATCGGACGAGTCGAAAAAGAGAGGTCTCGAACACCGCACGATATAGTAATTTTGACCGGTACAAGTTTTCCGACAATAATACATAATTCGCGATAAAACGAGTGAAAAGGATCACTGATTGATCCAGTGATCCCGGGGCGCCCTTCAGCAACAATTTCAAGTACCAGCAAGTGCCTACCAGCCTGCCAGACTGCTTGAACGAGCTTCAACGATATCGACCATCCTGATTCACGAGGTAAGACGCCAAGGTGAATCGTGCTCCGATTTATTTAAATTAATGATAATAATTTTGAACAAGCGAATATCCTATTCTGGACTCAACTGTCTGAAACATACAAACAAATTTTTATTCGTCCTTCAAGTTTGGGATTGCCATATGGGGTGGCAGTAGGGAGTTAGATAGAATTTTTGTAAGCCAAAAAAAAGGCTATCCGAGTAATGTTTGATATGAATGTTAGAGAATCATGTCGCGGAATCTTCAAGGCCCATAATATTCTCACGGTTCCTGCTGTGTATGTATTGGAAACTATAAAATTTCTCATGAAACAGTCGCATCAGTTCAACTGTTATGACACACTTATAATACTACTACTTTATACGATTTTTCAGATTTTTTGATGATGGAAAGATAGTTTAGATTATATAACCACATTTTCGAAATAGTCACTATTACATACCTCCATGTTTTTCGATCTTTTGTTGCCAACCTGGAAGGCTCTCCTCCAAGAAATTATCCACTTCAACCACCACGAATATGCATCCCAGAAGAAATAATTCTGGTGGAACTGTAAAAAACAAAAATAAGAATAATTAATACTATTTTTATGATTTACACGCAGGGAGTGGATTTCCAATGCTCATGTAGAGAGACATCATGACATGATGAAATAAATTAGTGAATGAGAAATCATTCACTCAGGTTTGATTTTATCTTTGCAAGAGGATATGTTTCTTGACTTTAATTTTTGAATTGGGTGATATTTGTTCAACTTTTGATATCATCAGGTACCTGATTTAGTGAATTTTGAGAGCTCCGTGGGTGAACTTTTTTTGGCCAAGTGTAAGAATTATCAGCATCAAAATGAAATAAGGCATATTGTCTAGTATGGTGTTCATGGATTTGAGAATTCCTTACCAATATGTTAGATTTGAGGTACTTGTTGATAATATCAAAAGAAATTTTGAGAATATTTATCAGATAGTGCTCTTCCAAAGAAATTGTATTTGTTTCTTCATAAAGTTGATTTGATGGGGTGTCATATAGAAGACGATACATTTATTTTAATGCTTTTTTTATATATTACCTACTACATTTCATAATATATACGTATTTTTTCTTTTTTTCGTGAGATCAAATTCCACTTCAGAAAAAAAAAATAAAAGAGAAACATGGCTCCTCCACCATTCTTATGACGTACTTTCTGAAAATCCATATTCACACAGAGTTAAAATACGATTCCCTGTGCCAGTACGACGTTGCCGACATCATCAATTTGTCTAGATTTCCGGAAATTGTTCTTTGAATGCATAATAACTATATCATAACAGCAATGGGATATAATAGGTTCTTCAATCCTACTTTGTCAAGTATTATGAATAATTCCCATAAATCTCCTATTGGCTGAATGAAGTTGATTACTAATGAAGATAAATTATGATATTTTGCGATAGTATCTATAATTTCTCACTATCGTTATATTACAATTTGTTATTCATAACTTGTCAGTCATTTTTTTGCTAATGAATTCGTTCCTTAATAAAACGGATCTATTTTTTAGGGAAGTTGCAGATTCTATCTTGCAACAGTGCCTAATACTTCCGAGTCCGTCCACACCACTCAAAATACTGACAGGCACAACAAGAGGAAGGAGCCATGGGTGTCGACTTCATTTAGTTCTAACCGATAGCAGGAAGTAGCCGATAGTGATTCATTGATTCAATGATATTTTTGTTTAGGATCGAGCTCTATTCGAGATATTTCAATGCATAAATAACAAAATCATAACCTGTCAGATTGAAGCCAACTACCTTCTGCATTCCTGCTCCGAGTGCATTTGTGGTTATGTATGTTTTTGTTTACCAGTTTTACTTCTTCTATTTTTTTCATTCGTTTTTCATTCCTTAGTTATTCGTTAGCTATTTGCTAGAGCTATTGCTTACCAATATGAAGTTAGATTTGAAGTACTTGTTGATAATATCAAAAGAAATTTCTAGAGTATTCATCAGACCTTCATCTTGCAAAGAAAATGTATTTGTTTCTTCATGAAGTTGATTTGATGAAAGACGATACATTACTTTTAATGATTATTTATATATCACCAACTACATAAGGGTGTCCCACAAGGCTCTGTTTTAGGATCTATACTATATTTACTTTATGTTCAAAATACCAGTGAAATTGGTCTAGCGAGTAAATATACCATGTATGCAGATGATACAGTACTTTTATATGAAGGCAAGAATATAATATATGATAAATGAAGACTTGAAAATATTTGAAAAATGGCTCCACTCTAACCTTTTATCGATAAATACTAACAAAACAGAATATATGATTTCTCACCAAAAAAATAACCAAAAAATTTACTTCAACCTTAAAATAAAAAATTAACTCTCAAAACAAACTGACCAGATAAAATATCTTGGTATTTGGTTTGATGACAGGTTGAAGTGGGACAAACATATTGATGTTCTGACAAAAAAAATATCTCCAATTATTGGTACATTGAGAAGATGTTCCAAACTTGATATTAAAATTGCAAACATGATTCTCTACTCTCATATACTGAGTCGTATCAAATATTTAATAAATGTTTGGGGATTTTGTTCAAAAAATAATTTCAATGAAATATCAACATTATATAGAAAATCGTTAGTATTGTATCGTCTGCCATTTGACACACCAACCAATCAATTGTATGAAATAACAAATACGTATTCTGTAGATGAAATATACAGTCTGTCCAAGATATGGTTGAACAGCATGGGAATCTCGAAAACTGTAGGAGATACGAAGTCAGTTAAATAGGGAAAAAGTTGCGCATTTGGAGGCTCATATCAAGAGGCTTCAAAAATTTTTAAAATTATTTTTAGTATTTTAGTTATATCGAAAAAAGTGAATTTTTTGAATATCTAGTTCATTTTTTTTCTCCGTTATTATTAGAGATACAGAATAAATGAAAATACTTTTTCATAGCAACTTTTGATGACGTTTAACGTGGTTATACCACTTTTTTTATGCGACGTTTCGTATCCGTAGAACCATCATCAACTTTTGTTTTTTAAATACGGTCTTGATAATTTTTTCACAGATTCTGAAAGTTTTTTTTATTTTGAATTCAACCATGTATTAGACAAGGTGATTCGAATGTGTTTCGACCTATTTCTATCCATCATCAATGTTTTGTCGAACTTCCAAAGGAAAAGTGCCATCAGTTCCATTTATTTCTCATCATTTAGTGTCAAACATTGATGGATTAATTATTCAATACTGAAAAGTGAATAAAA